TATATATATATATATATATATATATATATATATATATTTAGGTTCCTACATGTCTGAAGCTGTTTGTTGAACAAAGCTTACCATCTTTCAGATATATCCTACCATTGTTAGTTGTGACTGATTCTCCCCCTTCCAGTGCACAGATTCACCATGGGGATCAAGGCTGCTCTCCCCAGATATGAGCTGTATCTCTACTCTGCTGTACTCGCAGGCGCACTGATATGGGCTGGCAGTTGGATATTTGAAGCCTCAAGTGGTGAGTGCATAACCCCTCAGGAGGAATTGAAAACGCTGGCTCCATTGGCTTTATGACAAAAAATAGTATTTCTTAGTTGTTGTCAAAAAGAGCTCTCAAAGTACTCACACTATTGAACTGTTGAGTGTTTTGTAACTTTACAGCACCCATCCATTCATGTTCTCCCGCCTATTCCGTCAGGGTTTCTATGAGGCCAGTGATTATCTCTGGCATTCTCTGGGCAAAAGGCGGGGTACATCCCGGACAGGCTGCCAGTGTGTCGCAGGGCAACACAGAGACACAGAGTGATATACAACCATGCACATACACGTACACCTAAGGACAAGTTAGAGACACCAATTAACCAAACAGTCATGTTTTTGGACTGTGGGAGGAAGCTTGAGTAACTAAAGAGAAACCAAGCATGGACAAGGAGAACCTGCATACTCCATGAAGAAAGAGCCCGGGCCAGGAATCGAACCCAGGAACTCCTGCTGCAAGGCTACAAACTGTGCCACGATGCAACCCAACATCATAACAACAAACTTCTATTAATTTTACTGGAATTCTTTGTGTGAAATATTGGTAAAAGATTCTAAACCTGATTTAGGTCTGTACTTTGACTAGGCCAGAGTTCACGGATTGGCGGACCTTGGTCTGGATCCGGCTTATCCGGATCCAACCTGATTTAAAACATTTATAAATTACTGCATGTTTTCCAACTACAGTGTCTAACTTCACTTGCGCCTCTTCTCCTGTTAGTATGGTAAAGCCCTTCGGAGAGTCTGCGACCAAGCTACATGTGATACAAATTAGCCAATGAGATATGTCAGTCTGGGTCACTGCTGCTAGTCACTTTTAGTCACAGCAGGCAAACCTGTGGCAAGCCAGGCGATGGGAAAGAAGTAGAAGAAGAGAAAAAGAGAGCAGAGAAAGTGTGGACTGCTGGAAGAAGCGCTGTGAACTGGTGACATAAAAGTGAAATGGCGTGCTCAAAGATGACCCTGCACAGTTTGAGTATGTTTGGCTCAACCTACTGCTGTGAAGCAGGATTCTACACCATGAACATAATCAAAAATAAATATTGATCCAGGCTCACGATATAGCAACTTGATATGTGCTTGAGAATGGCTTTGTTACCCATAAAACCCAGGTTTAAAAGCCTTGCAGGGCAGCGTAAAGCCCACTGCTCTAAATAAGCCATAAAAAAGAAAAGAAAAAACAATAAATAGTCAGTTCAGGTGTTTTATAAAATATGTGAATCAGGAAATTGTCTATTTACCAAACTGAATTATTGTTGTTCTCTACTTCAAAAAACACATTAGATTTTAAAATGGAAATATACTCTGTTTTTTTATATTATTTTTTTATTTAAAAATTCAATGTATAACATGGATGCATAAAAACCTAGTTTTAGTTCAGTGTTAAATTCTGTTTAAAGTAACAGATTATAATTTAAAATGTCTCAGTTCCTTTACTGGTTGATGATTTTCTTTATTCTGACCCCGCTGACTTTTAATTGGTTAACTCTGGACTAGGCCATTATATCACATAGTGCTGCATATTTAAGGAAAGTAACCTCACCCCAGTCTGAAGTCTTATGCAAACCTTGGGATTTCTATATTTGTATGCTCCAGATTTTCCCCATTGACTCTGAATATATTTTTGTCCATGTTGATTAAAAAAACATCCCCACGGCATGATACAGCCACCATCATGTATCAAACCAGAAGTTAAACTTCGCCTTCATCTAGCAAGAGAAACTTCATTCAAATGTTTGCAAACTGAAACAGAAAGAAGAAGAACAGCTTGTTATCTTCTTGCCACCTTTTGACAAAGGCCAGACTTTTTGAAAGCAGGATTGATAGCTGCCTTATCAATATGTTTTGCATCCGGAGCTGCAGATCTCTGCAGCTTGTCTCCCTAGGGCTAATTCTAGGCTACCTCTTTGAATATTGTCTCTTCTTCTGCTGACAGGTTTTTGTTTGTTTGCATTTGTGCCAATCTCTTCAGGGGGTTTAAGTAATGTCCAAAACCTGGGAAATTACGTTACACCCTTACTTTTTTATATCTTGGCAAACTGGTACTTCACAGCAGAGTGTGGCTGAATACCACACTCTGCTGTGAAGTACCACACTGGTAAAAAGTGGCAGATAATCACTTTCTATCCAAGTAATAGTTACTTACTCACTTGTATTCATTTATCTTTAAACATGAATTACCAGTCATTAAAGTTTGTTGTAGAAGTGTAAAAAAATATGGAACAATTTCATGGGTGTGAATTTGGTATGTCTATAGGCAATTTAGTAGGAGCTGTTTTAATAAGACAGCTTTTCTGTGAACACACATATTTACAGCTGATTATATAGAAAGATTTACACAAGTGAAAGAAAAACAAAATCTTCAAAAATTAGATCTTCACCTATTAGCTTTCCCATTTTAATTCAAAAGTAGATCGAGGTTCATGAAGCAGATTAAAAAGAGACAATTTTCCCCAAAGGAACTCCTGTGTTCCTAATTTGGTGACAATTTATGGAGAGTTGTGTTATTTTATACGTTTTATACGTTTTCCTTGCTGCCTTAATTTCACTTTTAGTGTATTCCTTACAGATTCTGTAAAATGTAAAAATATTCAGGCTCCTATATGTTGAAGAAATCCTTCTGCATATATGGGTCTGAATAGACAGGCTGTGATCTGGTGCCTGGTACTGATTGTCACAGTCTGTGCTGTCAAATGGGTCCAGGCTTCGTCCTGCTGTCAGTCATCTTCCCCTACTTTCTTCTTAATGTTTTGCCGGCAGTCTTATCTCTGCAGTCCATGTGTTGATGCTACAGCATCACTTCTAACTGGTAATAGAAGGCTGCTGCTCGCTATAAGAGGCTTTCCCTAACCTACCCCATCATTATCCTCTTTTTCACAGCCATTAGGGTAATCAGGAAAAGCAGTGGGAGCTCCTGCTCTACAGAGTCTCTACCATACTCTGCTTGATCTGCCAGTTTTAAACGTTATAGTGCTTTTTTCAATGCATGCACATTAATGTTGTGATTTATTATCAGGCTTCTCAGAAAATGAATCTCCTCCAACAAGATTATTGCATGATTAGAATTTTTCTGTCTCAAAAATAGAAAGCTCAGTACCAAGTGGGTTATGTAATGTTCATTATCATGTAAGGGACCAAGCAGGCTGTCAGATAGTACATTTACACTGCTGGTAATCCATGTTTTTTAGACTAAAGCTTTTCAAATATCCACCTTTAGGATACATTTGTTTTTTGTCTTTTATCCAGACAATGTGAACAGAAAGGCGTTTAAAGCAAGCGTGAAGCCAGGATGGCATTACTTTGGCAGGAAAATGGTGAGTATATCATACAAGATCCTAAGACAACAAACAGGCAGATGAGTAGGTATCATCAGCAGTTACTTTTGACGCCTTTGTTTTGGTTTCAGGATGTGGCGGACTTCGAGTGGGTGATGTGGTTCTCTACATTCCGCAATCATATCCTTTTTGCTCTCACCGGTCATGTGATCTTTGCAAAGATATTTACCCTGCTAGCTCCAAAGGTGTGTGGGTGTGTACTCTAGAGCAGAGGAAATGTTGTGAAAATCTTTGAGATGGCACATCAGTTTGTCTGTGTGTATTTTTTGTTTTGTATGTAGCCTGAAGAATGCATATGTCACATATGATCTGTATACACAGTATGTACTGCTCTTGTGAATGCACGCAATCAAGGCCATCCATCAGATTTGATTGGGTATGTAGTGTTACTGCGTATACAAAGCTGCATCGTAGTGATGTGATTAACAGACGTTGTGTTAAGTAATGCCTTAAATTCAGCGAGTTAAAATTGGATATTTCAATAGTTATCAAACATGTGTGTTGTTACTAATATGGTGCACTGCAAAAGCACATGCAGCGTAACTTTAATATTTATCACAACGCAATATTACATCTTTAAATTATCTTATTTGACAGAGCAAATTAAAGTAGTACATAATTCAGAAATGCAAAGAGTGTGGTTAGGATCTTTTTGTACTGAACCCCCTTTACCCAGATACCTCCAAATATTCTGTATTTATTTTTTTATAAATATTTATAACAATATTTATATATTAAACAAGCAGCATCATGAAGGCCAAGTATTACAGCAGGATCTGGAGAACGTCAGATGGTTGTTTTTTGAGGCATGAATCTGCAAAATAAACCCATATTTGCAAGATCATTATCAGAAGGGAACATAGAAAACATGGGTGAACTTTCTTGGATACTTGCATTACACCTTGTATACCAAGGAACAGATATTGCATGTCACACTGAGCTCAGTCTCAGTGAGGATTTTCTCCTGCAGGGATAGGGAAGCATAGCAGAGTAAGTTGGAAGAAGGATGGAGTTAAACATACAAGAAAACATGGAAGATGAAGTAAAAGATGGTGACTGGGCTTCACCTTCTAGAGGGACAGCAGCACTAAACATCCAGCCAGAGTTACAATGCAGTGGCACAGAGAGGAGGACATGTGTTAGAATGGCCTTATTTATGTCAAGAAAAATCTAAAGGGGCAGGTAGTAATTAGTTCTGCACCGATGCCTGGCTGTGCAGTATCGGCCGATACCGATGCCATATTGATACCATCTGTTTAAAATTAATGTGCGTGTGCATATATGAAGAACTGCATAGTACTTGGATGTAAAATAATGGCTTTTTCAAGCTGCTGCCTACCTTTGTTAAGCAGGAAAATTACTAATACAAAGCGAATCCAGTACCAATACCACCATTTTAGTGCTGGATCAGGGTCCTGCCCGATACTGGTATCGGTATCGGTGCAATACTAGTGATAATAAATTTTCCCTCCATCTAATCTGAACAAGCTATTTCACAATGAAGAATAAGTGGAATCCTAGTCTCCTGTTACTTGAAGCTAATAGAAACTGCCTGAAAAAAAACAAACTTAAGAAAAAAGGTTATTTTTCATTGTATTGTATTGAATCTAATACTCTTTTTAGATTATCATATACAGAAACCCCTGAAAAGTTTCTTCTACTTCCCAGTTATTCAGTGACTGTGTTAGTTTATCACATAGAATTTCCATACTTTGCATTAAACTTTGTGATTGTAATGTAAAAGATATGCAGACAGTTATCGGGGTAGATAGACTTTTGAAAGATTTTGACCTAAGCTCTGATATATGACTGCGGTGATGCATGAAATTGAACTACGCTTTGCGGTCAGGAGTTTATTTACCTGGTTTTAAACACTTTTGTTCTTTTTTATGTTTTAAAAAATGTTGTTTTTGAAATGTTTTGTGTCTTGTTACATGTTTACGTTAAGATTGGTACTGATGGATGTATGGTAACTTTAATAAAGTTGTGAATGTATTCACACTTGTCACGTCTTATTTGAATTGCCCATAGGAATGTAGATTTCCTAACCTATAATGAGGGAATAGTTCCATTAAACAGTGTTATTGAGCTAACATTGTTTGCATTGTGGCATTTAATTAGGCATGCGGTTTAGATGCATTAACACTGATATTGGCTTCTTTTGTTTTTTTCCTACAGCACAGATCCTTGACCTTTGCCGTGTACGGAGGTCTCGCCGTCCTGGTCACCATGGGCTGGACCTTCATGGCTCTGGTTGTGTCCCACTGCATCATACTCTACAGTGTCGCCCTTGTTAAGAAGAAATGGATGTGCTTTGCTGCAGGTCTGAGCACGCTGGCCTCCATCAAGCTGGAGCCGTATAACTCCTGGCAGGTGAATGGTTGGTTCCCTCCTTGGATTCACAAACACAGACAACTGGCTGTGTCAGTTTCATGGCAGAGAGTTTACATATTGTCAAACATAATATTTACTTTGCAGTACATCAAACGCTGTTGAAGACTTTACAACCCCACACATTGCTTCCAAGGAGCATAGCTTTCAGAAAAACCTTGAAATTGTCTTTAACAATAGTTAAGCAGTCATTGTCCAAAGAAGTATTAATCAAGATCATTAAAGAAATATGCAAGTAGGTCTGGAAACTTCTGTGCAGTGCATAAGAGAATTGATGATGGTTTTGTACTGAAATAAAACTGTCATATGAACATGTTCATCAAATATCAGAAAAATGGGAAACAATACTCTTAACATCTTTGCACTCAAACATATGTCTTGCACAAATACAGTTTTTGCAATTTGAGCTTACAAACCATTGTTTCCCCCTGTAGGAGGCTTTAGTGACTGGATCTTTTGACCTGCAAGATGTCCTGTTCTACGGAGGCTGTGGCTTCAGCATCATGCGCTGCATGAGCTTCGCTTTGGAGAACTGTGACAGGAAAGAGGGAAACTATTCCTTCTCTGACCTCCTGAAATACAACTTCTACCTCCCGTTCTTCTTTTTTGGACCTATTATGACTTTCGACCGTTTTCATGCCCAGGTGAGGCTGCAGATACACACACCAGATACGTATTTATGATGTGATTTATTTAGATCCTGGGATCTGTAAGAAATATAATTAAAATAGTATACTTTTAAACTCCAAGGAATTGCTGATGATTTTTTCCTCTGCAGGCTAATAACACTCAGCTTACCCGCAAGGAGAGGGAGATGTGGAATATCACCACCAAAGCCTTGGTACACCTGGGAATTATACTGGTGGTGGATGTCTTCTTCCATTACCTGTATATCTTGACAATACCCAGCGACATGAACTTGGTCAACAAGCTATCTGACTGGTGTCTTGGTGAGAATATTAAATATCACTGACATAGAAACCTTACTTTTTGAAATTAAAGCAAGTCACCACATTTCATTTGAAGGGTAGAAATTGGATTTTAGACAACTTTTATTGTCCTTTTGTATACACAGAGTGTATGAAATTTAATTTTGGACAGCTTTCAGAGAGTGAATGATCGGTAGCTTAGCACTGAAACGAACATTTCCATTTCATAAAGTGCAGCAGGGATCAAATGTAAACAATATGGGAGAAAAAACAATACGGCTGATAAAAGCACATTGGTATGGAAGTTCAGAGCATTAATATATATGGTGGAATTATGCAGTATTTTGGGTTTGGTGTTATCAGTGTGATGCAGAGTCTGTAACATGATTTTCAACAGTTCAGCAGTCTGATGGCAGTGGGGAAGAAAAGTCTGCAGAATCTGCTGGACCTACCTTGAATGCTGCAAAGCCTCTTCCCAGAGGGCAGCAGGGAGAACAGTCTATGGTGGGGGTGTGAGGGTCGGTAATAATGTTACGGTCTTGGGACACGCAGCGCTAGAAGGACATTTCTTTAATGGAGGGAAGAGGAGCCCCAATGATCTTCTCTGC